GACCACATCGGACTTTGACAACGTCAGAATGTTGTCACACTGAAACGCTTCGCACGTGCCATCTTCAGGCTATTTCCGAATGCCTTCCTCTCTGAACGGGAAGGAATTATAGAGAATTGTTTTTATTTTTTACAAATGGATGATTTTTTATTTACCTCTGCCTTTGGTACCAGAAAATAATGTTTTTTTTTCCACAATGAAAAACGAAGGCACGCGCCGGCAGTCTAAATTTTGCCAGCATTCGCCTACTGCACAAGACTGCCAGCAACTTTGTCTTCGATAAGTTGCTTTAGAAATAGTCTAAAAGTAGTTCAAAGTTGCTGGCATGCATCGGCATCAATTCGGAATCGAAACAAAACAATAGAACGAATAAAAATTTGTTTTTGTGTTGCCGCTTTCGGATCAGTGTTGTGAGCCCGAGATTACGGCATGGTCATTGCGGCTGCAGTAAGTTCATTGGCCCCTAGAGATTCCTACAAGGATAGCTGTTAATTCATAGTATGGTTCTCCAGCTATAAAACTGGCTCCTTCTTTACTCCTCAAGATGCCCTGACCAATGCTGCATCATTTGTTGGTCAAATTGAAAATATCAGCTTAGTAAGGCAGATCGATAAAATATTTCAAAATGATCGAGACACGGCAAAATTTGAGGCTAAGTGTTGGTTCGCGCAACACGCAAAAGACATCTTGAAACTGCTAAAATTTTGCCAAAATGTTTCTGCCGGGAAAATGCTGAACTGATAATTCATTCAGGAGACGAAACATACGTCAGGATCGCTAGCCATTTTAACATTATGAATAATCGAAGAAATTATTTTATTTTTCGAGCAGCGGCGAAAATTCGCCACAGGACGCCTGAAAATAGTAATGTCTCAAACTGTCCGACCTGTAAGTTTTGGGACTATTTGCAGATGAAATATCACCGCATATCGAATGGGTACCAATTGTACAGCGAAATTTTACCGATATAATTAACGAGGCGCTGCATGAGGACTACGAAGAAAAAGTGACGCATCATCACCGTGAACACAGTCAGCGACAGAAGGAACGACTAATTAGGATCGGCAAAATGCTCAATGTAATCATTACACTCATTTGCTTATTTTATACCTAATATCAGTAATGCCGGCAGGTATAATGCAGTGGGAAGCAGCATTTTTGTCGTGCAGTTAC